AAGACAAATATGAGTGGGGCAAAAAAAAAATGCAGTAGTCTTGATCTACTAGATGACACCACCTAAGGAATCCATCACATTCAATAACAACCATGCAGCAACTTTGCTGCCTGACCCAACTCTGAATGAACCCTGGGAGCCGCATGCATGCAGAGGGGAGGGGAAGTACACACAGGTTTCTCATCCTCGCTGGGACGAAATAGTGTGACCTGCCCAGAGTAGGGTACCAAGAGAGCTCTTCAAAGAACCAACAGGGCAGGCATCCTCCTCCCCAGGAGCCAGGGTCCTGATGAGTCACGTGAACAATAGCCTGGTGCTCGGAAGAACTTTGATTGGGCATCTGATGGTGATGACCACTGGAGCACATTCTTGGCAATCTAAAATTCTGGACCCGTTGTTTAGAGCAGTCTGGGCAGATGCTGAATCACAGCGCTTCTGATGCTAGTTAAATTGTCCGTTTGAGTAGGTTCAGCAAATCTCACTATGTTTTCAGTGTGCACAAAGCTATACGCCAAGCCTATGGATTAAGATGGTGAGTGAGATTCTTTAAGGGCAAGGCAAAGTATGTCTAAGATTGTTTCCTCTGAATACACCAATGCTTTGTCTTACATGTTGTATATATCACACACAGGTATACACACATGCATATTTCTGACTCTGACATCCTTCCTACTGCTTTCAATTCATAAAGAAAAAGTGCCCATAAGTGTTTCTTACTCTGCCTTCTGAGGGAGTCACCAGCTGTAGGGCAGGAGTGCTGTTTCCAGTGGGCTGCATCTCTGGGTTTCTGCTACATTCTGTACAGGCAGAAGCTTGAACTGTGTGTCAGCAAGTTGAAACTCGGGCACGTCCATCTGTCTGTAAGTTCCGCTGTTGTGCATCCCATCCGTCAATACTGCTGCTTTTCGTTAAGAAGGCCCTGTGGAGGGTGCGAGCAGGCGGGGGGGGGGGGTACGAGCGTCTTCATTTCTTTAAATTCTGAGAATTGGTGCTGCTCACTGGAATACAGCAAGACTGACTTTCTAAGGTAGAAGTAAGAAGAGTGAGATGAAATGAATTTGAATGATGTATTTTATCTATCCAAATGTCTTTAAAATATTGTAATTTCTACACGCATTCAACAAAAAGTTCTCAAGAAAGAATTTAGATGATTTTCATATTGAGACTTTGAAAGCTGTTCTATTCTTTAAATTTGAGGCAGTTTCATTGAGTCCAATCATATTTAGAGTGTTTAGCTGTCTTTCATGTTAGTGGGTACCGTATTGGATTGAAGCTACAGATCGCAGAGTTCAGCATTGGTTTCTATTGGCCAAGTTGACAAGGGACATGGGGAAGGCATGGACGTGTGATGCAGAGGAGGGCGAGGGCTCACTGGTCATCTGAGACCACATAGCGCGCGTCCTAGGTAGAAGTCCTGAGGAAGTTGTGCAGTGATTATCACTTGCTTGTGCTTTAAAAGTGACATTTTAGCACTGTTTGCTTACATCAAACTCACAATCCCTGTGATGTGAAGAGATGCCAGATGGAGAAATGCCCCGTGACTGAAACGGCCACAGTCAAGTGCTGACCACACAGTCTTCCCTTTGGCTTTATTCTGGTCCATTGCCTTGCATTACAGCCTTGAGATGTCAGAAACTCTCCAGTTTAGGGGGTAAACCCACAGCCTCGGATTCTTGTGTGTTTAAATCCACATCCTTGGATACTGGGTGAACCTGAGTGAATGAAGGAACAGACTGGGCCAAGGCAAGGATTTTTTAAAATTTTGCAAACTATCACCCAGCCTCTACAGCACATTGGCCTTCAATCATGCATTGGTAGGAAAGAATTAAATTACTCTAACTCCAGAGAAGGGGACTAACAGAGGTACAGGGAACCTTTAGATGTTTTTGTGGGTTTACCATGCATCTTTAAATGCCCATATCCCTGTGTTCATGCTGTCTGCATAATCAAGCTGTGCTTCGGAAGTCACTATCCCTGCAGTTATTGTGTATAAATTTGGACAGCAAGTAGCTGAACACGCCATCTAGCATCTTGACGGCTGCGAAGCTGTGCCTGGTGTCCCAGAAGCTGGACTCTCAAGTCCATGTCCTTAACCACTATTCTGCATTAGCTGGTGTGGGGACTGGCCCTGGGATTCCTCGGGGGCCCTCACCTGATGTAAGAGCTGTGACACCCACAGGTCCGCAGTGTGGGTGGGGAAGCCACCGTGGTGAGATGTGAGAACCTTGTGACTGCAGGCCACTTAGTTGCTAATTGGCATTTAATCGTAAAGTGGATGCAGTGAGCTCGTTCCCCTCCTACCCCAGCTGGAGCTGGTTAGATGCTAATTACTTTGGATCTAAGTGCTGAGGCTGTGGCTACAAGCATGATTCTCATTTGGGCTACACATTCCTGGCAGGGCATCTTCACCCCAAAGGTCCCATCAGAGCAGAAGTGCGTTCCAAGTACCACATTACTTGACAACACTCCCACCCTTAGGAATTCAATCTTAAAAATTACCAAATTTGAACTTTGTATTTGAGAAGTGAAATAAGTCAGAATTTGCTAGAGGTGAAGTTACATTTAAGTCAACAGTTAAAGCAGACATATTGGCATTTTCCTAGTTGTAAACAGAAAACAAGGAGGTAATTTTTTCTTCCATGTATTACACAATCAACTGTGTGTGTGTGTTTATTTGCACACACATGCAGAAGTCAGAGGCCACCATGCACCCAGTAAAGACTGTCCAAACCTCTGAATCTAGGCTGCTGCAATACTAGAACTTCACTGGCCGAGGCTCTGGGTAGGAAGCTTGACTTTAGCTGAGGGTGTGGGAAAGTTAGCGGCCAGAAATCGACATTGCTTCCTCAGGTGTGTCCCCACCGCCATCCCAGGGTTCATGAAGTCAGCTGAATGTAATCACCAGCTCTCTGCCTGAGCTTTGAACCACCACCACAGTGTTAGAAAATCAACACAGTCTCAAAACATCCCACGTGAGAGGGAAATAAACGTGCACCCAGTATTTCAGGCCACAGAAAATAGAAGTCAGCACGAAATATGGATAACAACAATAATAATTCCAGTTGGTGTCATGTTTGCTGTACCTATTTCTTCACAGTGGACGGATCTGTGCCAATGAAAAGACAAGGCCGATATGGCTTGATTTCTCTCACGCATACCATGGCTTCTTAGGAGGGCTGTAAGAAAGGCTAGATGTGTAGAGGAGGCCCAGCCTCTGCTATCTGTGACTTAGAGACCACAAGAAAGCTGTCTGCAGGAAAGCTCCCTCCTGTGCCCTTTTCTACTGTTTCTGTCTGAAGTTTTTTCCAATCAGAACTTCATATGAAGCACTTGCAAAGTGCATTATATGAGGGCATCCATCTATTCCAGGCTTTTAAAATCAAGGTGGCGGAGTGGGCAAGGTAGCCCAGGGATTCAGAACACTTGTTTTTCTTGCAGAGGGCCTGGGTTCAATTCCCAGAACCCATGTAGAGTAGCTCACAACCACCTCTCCAGGGGATCAAGTAGCCTCTTCCGGCCTCTGCTACACTCAGCTGAGCACCAAGCAGGCACGCATTTATTTCTCTCTGCCCTTGGATGTGATGCTCTAGCTGCTTGAGTTCCTCCATTACCGTCCCCGAGATGACAGACTGTGACCTGGAGTGCTCCCTGGCTGAAGTACTCTTATCAGGCTGTTCAGTCACAACAGAAATGACACTTGAACAGCCAGGGAGCAGTCATTCTGTCTCCAACCAGTCCCTGACAGCCGTCCACTACCCCGTCTCTACCCATGTGCTAGTGAGCGTTTTGATGCTGTTGAGGTTGCTCGGGTCAGTCCTTTGTTCCTGGTTAGGGCTGACTCCTGGTGCCATTTGCATATAGTTTACTAGGTTGTGGTCTATGCACCCTGATGCACTTGAGAGGACTTTTAAATGATCTCCACAAATGAAGATCACCAACATCTGATTCTCAGTGAGGCTGACTGACAAAATTACTTTGAATCAAAAGGAACTTTCCTGACACAAAGTCCTGACAAACCAGAGTGGGACAATAGAGAGGGGGTGAAGGGTGGGGAAGCCACCGTCAGTGGAGATGAGGCCTGACTCTGACCCGGTCATTCCAATGGGACACCCCTAACAAAGTATATGGCAATGTTGCTACGGAGCCAAGCATGCGCAGATCTTATTCTAATTATCAGTGTGCTGGGGCTGCGGGAGACAGAATAGTCAGGAATGTGGCTGCTCAACAAGCACAGGGACATGGATTTGATCCCCAGAACTCTGACAAGTTGAGCATGGTGGGACAGGCTTCCAGTTCCAGCTCTGGAGAAGCAGAGACATGGGGATTGTAGCAGTGGGAGATCCTGCACGAAAGGCGGGCAGAGCCCCAGAAACAGAGCCAGGACGGCTCTCTGAGGTGCTTGTGCACACTTATGCACCTGCACGTACAGGAACACCTCATGTGCACACAGTCTCACCGCGGTGCGCCAGAGGGGATCTGGGGGAGAAGAGAGCTGCTTTCCCACAATCAGCAATCCCGCGCACCTCTAGGCCAGGCTCCTGGGAAGGGCTGTGGCTGTAGTGTAGAAAGCCTCACCGGCCCCACGTGGGTTTCACGATGTTGACAGAAGCCTCCTAGGAGGTTGCTGTGAACCGACTCTACTGCAGAGGCCTGGTCCCCTCTGAGCTGAGCTCCCCCTCCTAATGCTAAAATCCCTTTGGAAGGAAATTGTGCCAGACTCAAAGGAGATGGATTTCCCTCTCTGTCTTCATTGGGAGTTAATTTGCTGGCAATTACGGTGTCTTTACCATACACTTAGAATCTCATTCATTTACACGGCAGGAAGGAGGGCCACTCTTTACGGCTCCCTTATTTAAATTATTGATGCTCCCAGCTGTAGGACTTTCACTTCCTGCTTTCTCTGATAATTGACTAGCTAGCACAGGGCAGGTGTGGGCTCCAGAAAGCCGATCTGTTGGCATGTGGACTGATGGCCGCTGGGACCGTGTTGTTCATTTCAGACACGGCTGATCATCAGTCTCAGAACTGTTAGCTTTGGGAGCCAACAGGTGATTCCCCTACATGGCCGAGCTCTCCAGGGATGGAGGACAAGTCCAGGTTTCAGAAGTAAGTACCGAGGAGCCTCCAGAGCCTTAATTCAATCTGTGCTTTTCCTTTGTGCTCTCGTGGGACCCCAGCCTTTGGTAACGCACCCATTCTAAATACGCAACCTGTTCTTAGGAAGAACTAAGTGGGCAAAAGTAAAGGAAGTCCGCAGAAAGATGTAATCGAGCCCAGACCACCAATGATCGTCTTTGGTCATCTACGCCACTTTGCTGGGGAGTACTGGAAAGAACTCATTAGCATAAGTGTGCAAAGGTTTCTGCATATATGTGCTGTGCTTCAAAAGATGTCACAGGCCCCGAGAGTCAGAAGAGCAAGCAGTGGTCAGAACTTCAAGCAATACACAGGTGTGGGAGACTCTAGAGCATGGAAGAGAAACCAGCTAAACTCTATGATAATGATTCAACAAATGGCCAAAGTTGGGAGACCCTGCCCTTGTGTGGAGAGAGGTGGAAGATTGTGAGGGTGCATGGTGTGTGTGTGTGTGTGACATTTGTGCTCCATCTGGGTAGGTGAGGGAGCTCCATTGAGCAGAGCAGGGAAGAGGAGACTTGAGGGAGTCCAAATGAGAAGACTTCAAATGGCTCTGGAAGTGGTCAGCAAGAGGCCATTTAGGAGACAACTGGAGCCTTTGGGAAGAGAGGGAGAATGTGTATGTGAGGAATTCTTGACTAATTATTGTAGGATGGTCCAGCCCACTGTGGGCAGCACCATTGCTAAGCAGGTAGGCCTCAGTGGCATAGCAAAGCAAGGAGTGCATGAGGCTGAGAGGCAGCCAGTGAGCAGCATTTCTTCATAATCTCCACTTGTTCTGCTTGACTGAGTTCCTGCCCTGAATTTCTCTGTGACAGATTCTAACCGGGAAGCACAACCCATGCAAACCTTTTCCTCCCTAGGTTGATTTTGGTCAGAGTGTTTCATCTCAGCAACAGAAAGCAAACTTGAACATCTCTTCATCCCTTATAATAATTGTGGTTCAAGTGATAAGTTGGTGTTTTTACCATGACCCTGCTCTGGTACCTGTCCGGGCTTCCTGGCCCCCTGTGTAGAGCCAGATTCTTCCCGGCACAATACTGAATATGCATTTTATCTGGCAATTGATTCCAAGTGCACAGAAATTTTCCATATGACTTATTGTAGCTTGTCTTGGTTCCTCAGAAGGACCTTCTGATAGCAAAAAAGATGCAAAAGATCTGGTGACTGGGAGCCCAGCAGTGATTCTTCAAGGGCAAGAAACAGAAATCAGAGCCTAAAGAAGGGGAGGTGAGATACACATTCCCCGTGCAGTATCTTTAATCACTGCTTGGATTGTTCTTTAGGCAACAGTGAAGATGAAAAAAACTTTTAGTGGCAAGTGGGAAAACAAGGAAGGTCACAGTGAACAGAAATCCCAGCATCCTCTCCAGTCACCCATGGTGTCTGTGATAGTGACAGAGATCTGGCTGATTGGCAGTGGAGAGTCCCACCCTCAGTTGAAACCCAAGACAGAAAGAAAATAGCTACAAAATGCACCATGAATATTTGCAGGCTAAAATTGCCTAAATTCTCCCCAAATCGTTGAAAAGTCTTATAAACAGTGTGATATTTTCCCACATATTTTCCACATTATTCTTGATTTCTTATTTTTAAAACCCTGTTTGCAGTATCTAAAAAGAACGTGTTGTTTTGCAAAGTCCAACCCCTCTTAATATTCCAAATTCCAAATTTATGGCATCAGAATTAAAAGGAGTTTTATGGATATAATTAGAAGAAGATTCCAGTTTTCAGTTCATTGCCTCCCAGTCATGTCCCAGCCTTGTTATATTTGATAATGACATACCAACATTCTATCAGAACTCAGCTCTGCAGAGAGATTCCAGAATACTTTAATCCCCCCAGAAATCAGAAGCAGCTGCTCTCTCTGTCAGAAGAGAAAAGCTTGAGTCTAGGTAACTCCAAAGAGAACGTGACTTGCATTCTTACATCTCAAATTATAAGGGCTTTTCCCCCTTTTGATTGGTGGGCATGTCGTCAAAATTTCTCTTCTGTTTGTCTTCATTGATTTTACTTCTTTAGATTTTTCTCAGACTGGAAATTGCTTTTGAGTCACGAATCAAAAATATCACGTCCATTCAAGCATCTATCACGCAGGCTATGTAACACCTGGAGACTTTTATACTCCCAAGAAAACGGATCAAAAGGAAGTGAAATTCGAACATATGCCCTTCTGTGTGGTGGGTTAATGATGGCAAAAGATGCTCTCATCCTCCCACAGCCGAGGTCTCCAAGCCCCAGTGCTGAGGCTTCACCCTGCATGGGTTCTTTGGTGACACGAAACTGCTTCAGTAGACACTAAAACTAACAAAGACGTTAGCTTCATTGATTTTTCTGAACATGGGGAAGGGGAGGGGAAAAAGAGCTCAGCAAAGTCCAGGAAAGAGGTTTAATACAACTGTCTTTTAATAATATTAAGTTTCCTAGAATCAATATTTTCTCTACCTCCTACTAAACTGCATGCTGCTACACGCCAGTTGCTATGTAGGCAGATGGGATCAATAGAAGGCTTACCTTCTTCGGAGACTATTTCCAAGACCTGCATAATGGGGCATGGATTAGAAAGAATGCAATTGAATTTTAAGTACATAGACGCTATGCTATCATCGTCAACCTGGGGATATAGATTTGCTCATAGCCCATGAGACTCAGGCGGGAGTTGCTAGCTGCGGATTAGCTCGTAGAACTTCAGTGGTAGGGGCTTCCTATAGGACTGGTCAACAAATGCTGAACACAGTGCTTGGAGCACTCCCACAATTGTCTTCAAGTGCTCTCAGTAACACCGAGCGAGCACTCTCCAGGAGGGGACGCACTCTGTTCCTATCAAAGTGTAATATGCGGCTTTTCAATTTCAAGTCCTTGCTGACTCAAGGCCCCTTTCTTCTTAGCTGTTTTGTTTTGTTTTTGTAAAGTTAAATAACCCTCAAACAGTAAAAGTAACTCTTGGTAGACCCACTAAACTGTTTTTTTATAACTGCTAGAATAATGTCTTTTGATTAATGTTTTTGGAATAATATTCAATTATATCACAAAACATCAAATACTGATAAAGACATCAAAGCAACTCAAATTTTACAAAAGATCAGGTGTGTTCATTTATGTTCACTGATTGACAGGGATACAGATCCCTTAAGAAATCAGTTTGAAAATACCAGAATATTTTGTGATGCTAGTATTTACTTGTCAATATTTGTTTATCTTTGGGCCAAGGGGACGCATGTTCAATTGACAAGCTATACTTGGGTATTTATAATTCTATTTAGAGCTGATGAGATAATGAAAATAAAGCAGATATATTCACTTTGTATTACTGCAGTGGAATGCCTGATGTAATTAACTTATTAAATAAAAAGGCTTCATCTCGCTTGTTCTGGATGATCAGACACCTCACCTCTGACAAGAACAGTGGCAGAGCCTGCAGTAGAGAAAAACTCCTCACCTGTGGGCAGGAGGCAGAGACAAGCTGGTTGGTACTTGGTTTTGATTGTTGGCTTGATGCATGTGGAATTAATTGCCAGGGACGAAATCAAGGAAGAACTGTGTAGGATAAGTTTGGCTAGTGGGCATGCATGCCAGGGATTTTCTTTCTTAGGCTGATGATGTGGAAAGACCTACCCTGCCATGGACGGCACAATTCTGCGCCCTGTGCCCTGGACTGAATGAAAAGGAGAGGCCCGCTGAGCACCAGCGTGTGTGTGTTCATCAGAGCTCTCTGCTCTAACCTGCTGTCACCTGACTATCGGCTTCACGTTCCTACCGTTTGCCTTCCTCAAAATGACAGGCTGGATTCTGGAGCTAGGAGACACATAAGCCCCTTCTCCTCTGAGTTTGTTCCATCAGGGCTCCTTATCACAGTAACAGGAAACCAAAGTAAGATTGACAGCCAGGCGTTGCGCAGTGTGTTCAGAAGGCAGCACACCCAGGGACACAGGGCTCGCCTACTGGCTATGCCCATCTAAAGGGCCTTTAAGTACCTCAATGCTGCCTCACTGGGGTACAAGGCTCTGTAGATGGCCCTCTAGGAAACAGTCATCCAAACAGCACTATGCGGCTAGAGAGAAGGCTCAGCTAAGAGCATGTACTGTTTGTACAGAGGAGGCAAATTCAGTTCTCAGCACCCATGCCAAATGACTCACAACCAGCTGCCACTACAGCTCTATGGGATCTGGTGTCTTTTTCTGGCCTCTGAGGTCACCATACATACATGTGGCATCCACTCACACCATCATATACAGATACATAAATAATATAAATCTTAAGCAAACAAAAGTACCATTGATGTCCTTCAAGGGGCAAAATGTAAAATAGACAATGGTATCTATGCCATGGAATACTATTAAGCAAGCAAATTAAAAGGCTATATTGCATATTATAGAACTCTATTTATGTGAAACTTTCAGAAAACAATATCAGAATAAATATGGAAATAAGGGGTCCAGAGATTGAACCTAGGTTATTAGCATCAGAGGCAGGTACCTTTACCCACTGAGCCATCTTGCTGAACCACAGGATGCAATTCTTTATGGTAAAGAAATTCTCCTGTGTTGTTTTATAGTGGCGTTTGTACAAATTCACGTGTATTAAAATTCACAGAACTGTACACTCCAGAGGAAAGCCTCAATTTTACTATATCTTCTAAAAACTTTTTTTTAAATTGAAATTTATTCTTATTCCACATTTCTATCTAACTGAACACAGCTGCATACATCCTGCCCTTCTGTGAAGAGCCACAGGGCTGACTCATCCGTCACTGGCCCGTGTGTTTACGTTACAGTTGAAGCTGGTAGGTGGGGTCTGTGGGTACACTATTTGATGGCAGACTTGAGCCTAACCTGTGGTTTGTCTGTGCTCACAGCACTAGCAACACCCACTGGGATGCTCCCTAGTTTCTAACACTTCTCCAGCTTTGCACCTTGAGATTGTGGCTAAGGGCAAGAGCCCTGGCCACAGTTTTCTAGGGGTAACAGAGGAAAAGTGCCCAGACTCGGAATGTGTAGGTGACAAATGGCCTGGACAGATTCCTCTGGTTCTATGTTCATATACCGCCTGTCTGTACATGATACTCCATTGATGTGGAGAACAGCAAGGCCACTGAAGGAGATCTGTACATGCAGTCTCATGACTATGACCATCTGGGATCCCCTCTCCTCTGGGCAGTGTGGGACATGTATTGTGGCTATATCTTGTTGGCTGCCCTAGGTATAAAGGGCTTCCCTAGTTCAGAGTCTTCCTTATACTTAACTCCTCTCTCCACCTGGGTTCTGCTAGATGACTATGGCAGTGAGGAGTTTACTGCTGATGACCCCTATTCTAAGGTTCCACAGAGGTCCCTTTTGCAACAGCATCTCTCATCTCTCTCTCTTCTCAATGGCAAAATGCTGGGTCCTAGGCCCTTAGGGCAACCTGCTGTTGATGTGGGAGTCCCTTCTGTATGCTGTGAATGTGTTTTATTGCCATTGGTTAATGAATAAAGTTGTTTTGGCAATGACTTAGCAGAGCAAAGCCAGGTAGGAAACCTGAACAGAGATATATAGAGAGAAAGAAGGCAGAGTCAAGGAGATGCCATGTAGTTGCCGAAGGAGGACCCAGAACCTTTCTGGTAAGTCACAACCCTGTGTCAATACACAGATAAATAGAAGTGGGTTAATTCAAGATGTAAGAGCTAGCTGGAAATATGTCTGAGCCATTGGCTGAACAATGTTGTAATTAATAAAGTTTCTGTGTGATTATTTGGGTTTGCTTGGCTGGCAAATGAAAAGAGCAGTCTCCAGTTTCATGCTATCATTAAGTTTTGCTAAGCAGACATGCCATGAGGCTGCCTTCTAAATATGTGTTTATTCCTATAGATTAGTGCTGCTCTCAGCCCCGATTGGAGGAGCTTCTGCTTGCGGAGAGCAATGGTTAATGCAAAGACTTGTAACCATCAAATTGACCATTGTGACTAAGTGACTTTCAAGTGTTCACTCAGCCCTAAACAGTATAGCTATATTGCCCTGTCCAGTGCCCAGGGAACAGCAGAAAAAGTGCCAGAAAGAATCTACAAGCTGGAATAGACAGGAGAGTGCTATTAGACACTTTCTGGGATGAGACATGACCTTTGTACCCCTGAACTCACAGCAGCTCTGCTTACCTGGCTATCAGTATTCTATCCTGAGTTGAGACTCATGAGACCCCACCCCTCCCTCAGCAACTGTTGTCAATTAATGGTTGCTAGGAAGAGAGAGTCATTTTCTTCATTGGTATAGCCACTAGTGAGTGTCTCAAACTCCAGTAAATGAGCCTCATCCATGCTCATGCAAGTGACCCCAAATAAACTCAGGGAGTCACCAAAATCAAACACAAAATGCTGAAGTAGGAGAGGGGAGAGGAAGGGGTTCAGTGGGAGGAGTGGGAGGCATAAGAGTAACGGTGGTTGTAAATGATCAAAATCGTCTCTATGCACTTATAAAAACTGTGGAAGAATTAAAAAGTTAAAAACAAGGGAAATAATGAAAATTGATTGGAATTAAACTGGCTGGCATTCATTGATCTTGAGATAATGGATTAAAGTTTCATTTATTTACTTTCTCTGTGAGTGTGTGTATGTGTGTGTGTGCACACATGTAGAGATTAGAAGCAAACTTGCTGAGTGTTTCTCACTTTCTACCATGTGGTCCCAGGTACAGGATTCAGGCTACCGGGCTTGGAAGTGGGCACTGTTACCCACTCAGTGATCTCACTGGCCCTGAGACAGAGGATGCTTCCTAACTGAATTAGGATGAAGGAATTAGACATTTTGTTATCACAATAGAACTTGTGTAGACTGGTCAGGTAATCTCAGATGTCCCAGTGTTTGGACATCATGACCACCTTGTATCCAGGGCACATATTCCAAAAATGCAGGCACTTGGTGGCACAGTGTCTTTTTCTGTTCTTTAATTCCTTAGTTGTTTTTAACGTGATGGATTCCGGCCCCTCCTCCCATCTCAACTCCTGAAAGCTGACAACTGCATTGTCTTCTCTACAGATTGAGTCCTGTCCCTCATGATTCTTATGTTGAAGCCTTGATGAAAGTCTGAGGATGGGGACTTCATGCTAAGAAGAGATACCTGGGGACTCTGTGTGAAATGAGGACATAGCTAGCAGATAAATATCTTCAAGAATGGAGAAAACCCTTTACCAAACCCTGATCATTCTGGTATCTTAATCTGAAGTGCTCAGGACTGAGAGGAAAAACAAACATTCTGTGTTTTTCTAAGTCACCTAGTCTGTGGTATTCTGCACAGTGGCCTGAGCTAAGACACTTGCTACAATACAAATGTAACTGGAGACTTTTCTCAGCTGTCTTCTTTTGCGGGAAGTTGGTGGGAACTCTAGACACTAAAAGGATAGAGGACCCAGGCTTCTGCTTTTCCTGCTGAGATGCGACTTTCCCTGAGCGTCTTGACTTTGGCAGAAGTTGTGTAAGCTCCTATTCTGCTGCTGTGACAAGGCACCATGACCAAGGCCATCTGGAGAAGAAAGAGTTAATCTGGGCTTACGGTTTCAGAGTGTTGGAGTCTATGATGGTGGAGGAGAGACAGCAAAAACTGGATGCTGAGAACAGAAGCTGTGGGCTCCATCTTGAACTGCAATCAGGAAGCAGAGAGAATTCCCTACAGTGGGAATGGCACAAAGGTTTGAGACCTCAAAGCCTTCCCCAGTGACTTCTTCCAGGAGGCCCAAACTCTTAAATGTATTTAATCTACTAGTTAGGAACCAAATATTCAAACATCTGGACTTACGTGGGGTGGTACATTCTCATTCAAACTGCCACAGAAGCCAGGAACACCAACACATCTTTCTGGATACAGAGTGCAGCTGGGTACTTCCAGTTGAGAGACTCCAAGCATTTCGGTGAGGACACTGGTTCAACACAGTGCCAGTTCCTCAGGGCATCCTACATGAAATGTAGTCAAGCTTTATGATTCCTTTCAGACGCAAGCTGCTTCTCCAGTGCATGTTGTCCCTGTCTGGTTTCTTTGGTCAAGTCTCCTGGGACAAAAGAAAAAAATCCCTTTGTCAGATCAGAAAAACAAGTCAATGTTGATCCTCTTAGCATGGCTGTCACTGATGTTGATTGCTATTCTGCTGGGTCAGTGAGCTCAAGGTTCAGCGAGCAACCCTTGTCCAGAAAATAGGTGGAAGGTGATTGAGGAAAACACCCAGTGTCAACCTCTGGTTTCCATATTCTTTACAGACAAATGTGTTGATGCACACACATGTGAACAAGTGCACACACACACACACACACACACACACACACACACACACACTGAGCCAGTAAATAAGAAATTGTACTAAATTAGAATTTGGGGGTACTCATGATTCGCTAATGGTATCATGTGTTGGGACACGATTATAAAGTCCTCAGAGGTTAGTGGTCAATGACAAACAAGTTGGCTCTATTTGGTTTATTACAGTGAGTACCATTTCTCTGGTACAGATTGCTGACAGAATGGACTGCATTTGAATGGTTAGACAGACCTGCTATGTGCATCATCTCTACATAACTGAAATTCCACATCCAGGGATAGCTCTGTTTCCAATTTTAAAGAGTGAAAACCCTGTTAACAGCACAGCTTTATCTAGAGAAGGGCACCGGGTAAATCCTAGGTGGTGATGGTGCTGATGGAGACTTGGAGCATCACTAGGCCACACACAAGCCAATGTGCTCTCTCTCCAGTCTGCCTAGAAGTGCGCTGGCACCCAAATCAATGATTAATCGTTGAAAAAGTCTGAAAAATGAATATCCCTTTGACCTTTCTAAGGTTTGTCATTTAGTTGACATACCCATTACCTCAAAAATCAAACGTGTTTGTCTAAACATTATTCTGATGTTTACTTTGGACACCAAAGGGCAGCCGGCTGACCACCGACCCGCTGACAGTGATCAATTTCGTCGCCAATCTTGTCACTTTCCCTGTTTATTCCGCTATCAATCTCTCCTTTGCCTGCCACCGCAGCCACTTTCTGCTGCTCAGGCGCTTTTAAAACTAACAATAATCCAATTTAGAATTGATCAATGGGAATGCGAGGTCCGTCAGCAAAATGACCAAGTCCGTGTGTAACCGCTGACCACAGTCGGGGGTATTCTACATGGGGCTGAAGGCAGATTTTAATTAATTAATTAAATGTAAATAGCTCTCAGACCTTCTCCCTGGGGATTTCTGGTGAGATCCTCTAAGTATTATCATCATAGAAATGGGGGACCAGGCCCAGGCACCATTGCTAGAACCCAGGAGAATGGCGGCTTCGAGAAGCTTCTCTGGCTCTGGAACTGGTTTGTAACTGCAGTGTGATGTGGAAGCCAACAGTGTGGCTCGGGCTGAAATGTGACTTCTATCAACCAAGGAAACTAATTTAAAGTTAAATAGACACATGTGGCTTCTGACTATAGAGTTTAAGGGTTCTACAATGTTGGGATCATTGTCTAGACTGCCCAGACTTCAGGTATCAGGAGTCCAAGCTCCATCTGTTCCAGCAGACTACACAACAGGCAAGAGAAGCTAAGTGGCATAGTCCACTGTTCAACCATCTGACCAGGCAGCTTCCCTGGTTCATGGGAACAGGGTCCCATGGTGGCCAGATGGTTTGTTTGGTTCTCAGGGCCATGAGGCTCCCAGATTCAGGACTTTCTTGAACTGTTTTTTTCTGGTTCAGTGATTGGTTGGCACCTGCATTCCCTGCCCTTTCTGTCAGCCTCAAACTCCACTTTTACCATACTCAACATTTGATAAAATTCTTAGTTGACTGGAAGAATAATTCTTTATTTTTAAACATCATACCCAAGAACTGTTGTTATAGAGGCTAAGCCCTCTAAATTTCCCCTTAAAAGAAATGCCAGAGTTCTTATTTGTGGTTTTTACATACTGACTATATGAATGAAAGTCAAAACAAAAGCTGGTTCTTGTTTATAAACAAATTAAAAAATGTTAAAGGAAGGACTTTATTTCCTGAAAAGTCATAGAAAGGACAATGTTCTTCAGTGTGGAGGATACATTAGTAACTTTAACTGTTCTCGAAAACAAATACTTGATTGGCAGCAACTTGAGGAGGAAGGGTTAACTGTGGCTCACAGTTGGAGGGGATACAACCCTTCAAGGTTGGGAAGGAGTGGTGGCAGGTGACTCCATGATGGCAGGAATGCACACCCTCAACTCCTTACCCCTTCACACTGTGGTGAAACAGGAAGTGGAGGGCAGACAGGAGGTGGAGGGCAGACAGGAGGTGGAGGGCAGACAGGAAGTGGAGGGCAGAC